GAAACAATTTTTCTTAAAAACACAGAGTTGACTTAAGTTGTTCTGGCAGGTAAAGCCTCCTTTATATGCGAATTTCGTCTCCAACAGCACAAAAGTAACCTTGCGCGAAAAAAGCCGGGCGCCGCCATATTTGTTTTGGTCTTTCGGGTTTTAAATCTCGCACCTCTATCGTGCGTGTTACTCACGCGTGACGCACTACGATGATCTACTCCCCGCGCGAGAAAACTGGTACCAGCCACCTTAACTATTATTAAAGAAAGGTCTAAGGGGCTCTTTACAGAGTGCGTGATATAATTTCAAGATGCAAGTTTAGAAAATGAGACAACATTTCTCAATTTACAAAACGTGTCTGAACATTTCTATGTCATCTCCAGTTGCAAATGTTCGGCGATTGAACATTTGAATTTTTATGTATAATTACATTATAGAATTACACCTTAAAAAGCGCGTCAACAGATGAATTTAAATTTTTGAAATACACTAGAAACAACGAATAGAAATAGCAGCAATAACAGCAAAAAACAAAACCAAAACAAATAGAAAACAACAAAAGCAAAATATATGTATATAAAGATAATGCTTTTTTTATTAAAAGCCTGTATATTATTATCATTATTATTAACGTCTTCCGTCATGTACGTCTATTTTATCTTCACGTTTTTAGCGATGGCAGACATAAATTAGTCACGCACACACACAAGCATTCATGGGTTAATAGTAACGTTCGAGTTACTTTAGTTTAACACAGGTGTGATGGCAGAATCAATGTTCACCGGGGCGACGCTGTTATAAGAAGAACAGAACTTAATTTAGGTTTTCCTTACATGTAGATTAGGCTTGCTCTACTTTACTGAAGGGATTCTACTCTAGTGAATTTTCCAAGCTTTTTAACATTAAATTTATGACAAATATTATTTCCTGGAGTTTGTAGTAAATAAAGCCGTCATTATTTCCTCAGTTTTCCTTTCAGCTTAGACAAGAAGTGCCACCTCTCTCTGCGACTCTGCTACGTTTTCTTTCCCGTTTGTTAGACGCCTCAATCTGGTTTGTCTTTTTTCGTTTGTTCTCAGGTACGTAAATCTGGTATGTCTTCCCCAATCTGTCCCCGCACCAACAGACGGTACCAAGTGCTGGATCACGGGTTGGGGCAGACTTGCTTCCGGTGGAGCCACTCCAAACATTCTTCAACAGGTTCAAGTTCCAGTGGTCAGTCGCGCCCGATGTGATAAAGCCTACCCAAAAAAGATCCATGACTCCATGATCTGCGCGGGCCTGGACCAGGGTGGAATTGACTCCTGTCAGGGGGATAGTGGAGGACCGATGGTGTGTGAGACTGGTGGGAGGTATTATCTTCATGGCGCCACCAGCTGGGGCTATGGATGTGCTTCTCCTGGGAAGTTTGGTGTCTACGCCAAAGTGAAATACCTGTTGAGCTGGATCGTTGGCGAAATGTCTAAGAACTAACCAAACCCTACCGCCATGGTTCTTTAGTGATAATCGAGTTAGATCTTAATTCTTTCTTCTTGCAGATGTTGAAGAAAATAGTGGAAATTTGTGGGAATAATTAATAAAGGCGTTGAAAAGATAATTATGTGACAATTGTGGTTTTTCATTCTCCTCGTAGCTGTGGTCACTAACATATTTTGCTTAATACTGAAAAAGAAAAGTCCGTTTAGAGAATTAACCTTACTTCAGAATTGAGAACAGTATAGAAAGGAGAGAATGTCCTTAAGATAAAAGGAGAATCGAATCTTCGGATAGTTTACGTTACACTTCTAAACTAGTCACGTCAAAGTAAGTGTTGGTGGTTGGTGGTGGTGCTGATATTTCTACATTTATTACTGGTTGGTTAAAAAAAAAAGAAAGTTCCCTCAAAATTTAAGTTGCCACTGGCATTTTTCGTAAATGTACGTGCCCACCTGCATCGGTCTTATGGCAGGCAAAGTCAGTCGGGTTACTATATTTGCAAGGTTAACTAAGCAATTTGACCAAACAGTGGTTCAAGAATTGATGTCCCGTACAACCGGCATCATTGACAAGTGTTTTGTGTTGAAGTTCTATTATGGTGGGTTGTTCTTTTGGTTCTTTCAAAACCTTAATCGTTCACCTTTCAGCTGGCTACTCCGAACACGGCGCCAGACCAACCAGTGCAGTAGTTTTAATACTTAATTCTTCTTGCGAAATCGGGGATGTATTTCTAGTTAATAAAGGAATAAAATTAGTTTTTGAGGGACTATTGTTTATTTGAGCTCATGTAGTGTCATTTGCGGCCCGTGCAAATGACACTACCAGGGCGCAAATAAACAATATTCCCTAAAAAAGTCATTTGATTATCATTTTTATCAATATACAAGGCCAAATAATATCAAGAATACGAGTTTTAATAATACACTGAAGTAAATAATAAATTCAAAGTCACTTGAAATCATCATGTAACAGTTGACCAACTAAATATAAAGGTTTTTGTGCCAGATTAGGACCATCCAGAAAAGTAGATCTTTGCAAGGGCTATTGGACTCCACAAAGACAAATAGGGGTAGCAAGCATTTTTTCGAGATAATTAGCCTTGAATCTCAACAGAAAGGCAGACGTAAGCGTTTTTTTCTGAAAAAAGAAGGAAAGGATATTTCTTTACAAATTTCCTTAGAATTCGGCTTTACATACGGAGATGCAAACAAATTCTAAACATCTTAAAACTACATGATAAAAGGTAACATAAAAGTAATTTTTGGAATGTTTTTAATGACAAAATCGTTGCAACAGCGCTTTTAACGTGTCTGAAAGCCTTCCTCTGGCTCAGCTAAAATACGGTCTAAATAGCTTTTCCTCACAACCAGAAACTAATCACGTGTTGAATACTAGTAGGCTTGCCACTTCCATTTTATAACATAAAATGTAGGGGTAACCAAACGTTTTTTAAAGTTATTCATCTTTGTCTTTCCCTCGTTTATATTACGAAAAACCTGGGGTACTGTTTTGGCTGAGCTCCGTTTACTGGGTTATGAACCACAAATACCATGTGGGTCAAAATGGCTATGGGAAGAGCTCGTAGCCGCATTTATTGTAATAAACAGAATCACATAAATATTATACAAAATAAGTTTATAAAAAATACTTTAACCACATTGGCTACATAAAAATACTCAACCCAGTAAGGGTGAGGGCACAAAAAAGGTCAAATAGAAGAACATGAGGACAAGGCGAGGGCCGGAGGTGGGTAAAAATTTCCACGTTCTTTCACACTGAAGAATGACACATAACTTCGCGTCCCTACGTGATCAGCAATGCGCTCTATAGGGGTACAAAGAATTGCCCCCGACCACTCACCCTGTCCTAAAATGATTATTACTTATACATGAGCAAAAGTCAAATTAATTAATTGATGAACAATTCTTCTCGGGTAAGGACAAAAAAATTCTATTTGTAAACAAATATTTCACTTTTTTGAAAATTTTTACGCTGGTCGTTGCATTTTTTCCTGTCACCTCCCAGCAAGTAAAACATTTGAGTCTGCGCATGCAAATTTGAAGTTTTGAATTAGCATTTATGTTATCCACAAATGTGTTTTAGTTTTTAAATGTTTGCATAACTTAGTTCCTCAATATTTAAGTAACTATTTCATTAGGAA